CGCATTTGAAACATGCACACACGCAGGGTCCGAACAATACGCGTTTGTGCAGCCGCTCCGGCACAAAACGCATTATTACAGAGCGACCGACCACTGAATGAATTTACGGTAATCATGCGTGATGAAGACCCCGTGATGCAACGCTATCGCTCTAGCCGACGCCTTTTTATGCATTTTGTACTGCAAAAGTTCACAAAACGCATATTGGTTGAGATCATAGGCGGATCCAGAGCGGTCTCCGGGGGAGGGGGAGGGAAGAGGGAGAGGGGTCATTTTCCTACTTCCCCTTTTCCCTTCGTCACAACACCCTCCTCCCCTCTTCCTCCGTCAGCTCCCAACCTACCCTTCAACCATGGCGCTACTCCCTTTCCCCGTTCTCACTAATGGGCACTAAACTGGGAGTAATAAAGCCCCTAGCGGGGAGGGGGAGGGAGGGCAAGGGATACTGGGCAGACTTTTGTAATTGCTACCAATTGCTACCTAAGCCCTTGGGGGGAGGCGAAAGGTCCCTCGCCCATCCTCCCCTCCTCCTGAGTCCGTCAGTGTTCGATACCTTATCTCTATGTGTGTGTTCCCACTGCATTTTATCCAGGGGTTTCAAATCGGGAACCAAAGAAGATAGGAAACTGAAATATTAGCAGAATGTTTCCTGCCCCCTCCCTCCCTTTCCCCGCACATGTGCGGCCCCGCGAACTTAAATTTAGCCTTCATTTACTCCGAGTACCACGTACAACCTCACGAAAGTTTTTACAGGGATTACTGTCTCGAGAATCACGGAAGTTGGGGAGAAGAAATTTAAGTTGAATGCCCCTTACTTGCTTGCGACCCCTCAAATTCAAACTTAGCCTTCACGTGCCCTCGTTGACACTACCTACAACCCCGCGAAAGCTTTGGCGGAGTGATTTATTACCTTGGGAACCACAAAAGCTGGGAAGTTGAGACTTTGGTCAAATATTCCCCACTCACATGTACCTTCAGGTACCACGTATGGTCCCGCGAAAGTTTTGGGGAGAAAAGTTATTATCTCGAAAACCACGAAAACTGGGGTGCTGAATTGTTAAGGTAATGTCCCTTGCGTATATGCGGCACCACAACATTAAATTCCAGCCTTCCCGTTCGCCTGAGTGCCACGTACTCCCCGTGACAGTTTCGGCAGAAAAATTATTGCTTCGGGAAGCACGAAAGCTAAGAGACTGAAGTTTTACGAAAATGTCCCCTGCTCAAGTACAACCTCGCAAGTTCGAATTCTGCTTTCACGTAATCTTGAGCCTCACGTACGGCCTCGTAAAGGTTTTTGCGAGAAAAGTATTATTTCGGGGGCGAGAACACTTGGAAGGCTGAAAATTTCAGGAGGATATTTCCTGCTTATGCAGCAGCCTAACAAATTGAACCTTCGCTCCCAAGTATGATGAAGTCTGACGTAAGACCGTGAAAGTTTTGGCGCGAAACTTACTCGAAAGTTAGAGAATTAAGAGATTGAAATTTTGGGACAGTGTTCACATCATCCAAAGTTTCAAATTCAGCTCTCACGTACGTTTATGTTTCACGTGCTGGTACGTGAAACTTTAAATGGGAAATTTCGCAGCTTAGGAACCAAACAGCAATATCGACTACTTTTTCACAAACCAAAGTGTAAAACAATGAAAATCCTTAGGAAACAAACTCCCGCTGGTCGAAACTGCGCAAAACGCATGATCGCACCAGCTACTCTGATGCGCGCCGCCATTTATTTCTCTTGCACACAAGTAAAAGCCAAAATGTGTTTAACTGTAGCGTAGCTAACATGAGTCAGTGCGTTAAACTGTAGCGCAGCAACCATTCACGCTGTTGACGATCTGACTGTTTCATGTTTAACGCCAAAATGCATGATCGCCCCGACAAGCCTAGTGTGTCGCTGTTTGGGTTCCTTTCTCAAAGTACCATTGATGAACGCAACGTTCAGGACGAGAGACGCAGAGCCTAGCCCGAAAGCCACAAATTTAAAAAATTTAATTACAGTGTAGCATGAACTGTCAGAATGAATACCAACAAAACAAAAACGCCAAAAATTTGCTGGACCATGAAAGAGAATTGAGGCGCTGAAAAAGCACTGGAAGCGCGTTTTTCCATGTATGCAGAGTGCAGAAACGCATATTGGGAAGAGGCTGTGTGTATGTGTATGTGTCTTTGTCTGTGTGTTCGCATTTTTTGTAACCCACTTTCAATTCGAGAAACAGAAAAGCTAGAAGGCTGAAACTTTGGGAATATGTGCCCGTACCATGCGCGACCCTCCAGTTTTAATTTCATCCCCCGCGAACGCCTAGGTGCCGCGTACGGACGCTTTAAAAAATATGCAAATTTTTTGACGGAAAAGCGATCTCCGGAACCACATGAGCTAAGGGGCTGAAACTTTGTAGAAATATTCCCTGTGCATTTACTAGCTGAAAATTTCAAATTCAGCCCCCAGGTGTGCATGGCACTCA